TCTTGCGCAAATCGGTGTCGTGGAGTATAACCGGAAAGACGATGGAGAATCCCTAGCGACTTTTCACCGGATGCGAACCCTCGATCCTCACAAACTGGAATCTCTGGACACGTATTCCAATATCCTGTACGTCCAAGACAACGCGCCAGCGCTGGGACATTTGGCGAAACTTATGGCAGGGCCAGGAGTGGTTATTCTTGTCTTATCGATTTTTCCTGTTCTAAATCTTTAATCCTATGAAGATCTTCTACTTTATAACTTTTCTACTTAAGTACTTACCTTGTTCTATTTTCTCATCTGCTCGTCTGAGCGAGCGAATATCGCTCATGTCCTCGCTCCCTATGCGTATGGTGCCTACCGTTTCTAATGCAAAACCGGCCCGATGCGATAACTATATTACGCCAGAAGCGTGGCGCACCGTCGGAGGCTATTTCTCTCGCAAAGGCGAAAACGAGAAAGCTGCTAGGTACTTACCCCGTAGTAGTGCTTCCTTGTCGGCAAGTCTGAGTCTGTCTGTAGCTTCAAGAACATACTGCACGTTACAAGAACTATTGCATATTACACATTACATGATTGACATGCTTGAAAGTAACCGACTTACTGGCTGAGGTAAGCTTATTTTCGGTAGTTACTCGCTTACTTCAGTTTATGGATTGGGAAGTAGAATCTTGGTAAATATACTAGACTACGTCAACCTTAACACAGAGAAAGCCACAGGCTTTCAAGCGGCTCCCTCGTCAGCAAGGACGGCCGCGGCTTTCGAACAGACATCGACATGCCGGCAACATCTGCGGCGGCGTCCTCGCGGGCGCCTTGTGAGGGGACGAAGAGACGAAGGGTCGCACCCTCTGCCTGTGCTCCTTCTACTACTACTACTACTACTACTGCGCCTTTCTCTTGGTTGTCCACTTCTAACGCCGACGGGCCTCTGACTCAGGAGGCGCAAGGCAGAAAAGACGCTACAGCGAAGAGTCTACCACAAACGCACGCAGCTGCTGCTGGGATGACAGTGCCCACGGGTCTGGCAAAAATGAGGCGGCTGGCACGGAGAAAAAGGGAGCGAACCTTAGCGGAACAGTTAGGGCCCTCTCTTCGTGGAAGCATGTTACTCTTAGAGTCATTGCGTTACCATGTTATTCGTAGAGTCATTCCGTCTTGTTGTCCTTGTCTGTTCTTGTCCTACCTTGTCTGTTCTGTGTACGTCGTGACCCCTCTAATTCTTAGACGATACGCGCGGGCCATTGCCCTCAAATTCTTAGAGGACAAAGTCGCAACAGTGCGGAAAGAGTTGGCGCTGGTGCAAGCGGCGCGCCGCAGGTTGCAGAAAAAAGCAGCGCGGAGCGCACCAAGAAAGCCACCCCGGCCGAGGCAAAAAGGCTTGTGGAAAACTGAGCGCGCCGTTCAGGTCAAGCCGTTCCCGGTCGACAGGCGTGGGCAATGGACGACCGGGCTCAAGACCTGGGCCGCTTTAATTCACTGCGGTGCCAATCACTACCGACGCCGCCACGGACTTCCTGAATTCAAATTGTCCAAGACGGACGCCTTAACGCCCGCAGACATCTCGCGCGTGCAGCAGAACGACTGGCTCGATTTTTCTGAGCTCGAGTCGAAAGCTGTCGGCAATGTTTACGGCGTGGAGTAACCTCGTAGGCATGGGCCCAAGGGGCCACCGCACTCCCTGGACTCATCTAACTTGACTACAACGCTTGGGGCTTTCTTTAACTCAAATCCCGGGTGTATCTGACTCTCCTCGGGGTCTCTCGTTATATATCTAGCGCTAGGAGTCTAACGACCGCGCAGCCTTTGACTTGTGGGCTTCATGTAGTTAGGCTGTAGCTTCTTGAGGCTTCTTGTTATGCACTGGCTTAGTCTTAGGCTGTGGCTTCTTTCGGCTTCTTGTTGTGCACTGGCTTCGTCTCCTCTTTATCGCTAACCATTGTGGTGCTCGCATGCTGGTGCATTTGAAGGAAATACGGGCCAAGAGATTGTCCGACACATTGCAGAGGGGCCGGCGTCTAGATCGGAAACGGATCTCGTCAAGTTCAAGCATAGCCTCTTCCTCACACGTTTCGAGGATGAAGAGTACGAGAGCGGTGCCGTCCGTGCAAAGGTGTGGGAAATCTCACGCAAAGCGTTTGCGCGGTCGACAAACTTCCGACGTGCCACATTTCCCGTGCGAATTTGTGGCAAACCGAAGCGAAACCTGCGGGCGGCGCTGCAGGTCTTGCGGCGCTTAAAGGTTCCAGAAAAGTACACCGCGACCAAGTTGGGCACGTGCGTAGAAAAACTGATCTTATGCCAGGTCGTCTGTGTCGTGCTGTTCTAATTGCCACGACGGCGATCGCCTTCGACTATCATCGGTCCAGTAGTTAGCTGCTATGCTTGGCGCTTTCTTATCTCGGTCTTTCTCTCTAGGAGTTGGCTTTCCGCTCCACCTCTAGGCCTTACTGGCTTTGTGCCTTCATTTGTGTGCTTTTTCTGGGACTACCCGCCTGACTGTATCTATACAATCTTAAAGGAGATAACCGCTCGACCGCTCTGCATAACTCTGGCGGGCTCTAACACTCGGCAACGTGAGCCTCCGATCGTATTACTTTACGCGCCATATGCTCTGGGCAATCTTACACGCCCGAGAACAAGCAGCAAAGGAGAAGGGCCAACCTGTGCGCTTTCGCATGCGGAGAGAAGGACTCCCGACGAGTACGCAGCCGACGGGTCCGGCCTGTGAAATGGTCAAACTGCTGGGATTGCCGAGGAATCCGCAAACGCTGGACGCCTTACTCCTGCCATATGTTACGGCTTTTCCGCACTAGTATGCCCTTAGCGTCTTTCCAAGTATCTATGCAGTGGCATTCTCGGGCAGTACTCTCCTGAGCTTAGTACCCGTGCCACCTTCCTGCATACTTGTCAGATGGCGCGCATGCCTCTAATGTTGTACCTCGAGAAACTCGGGACGGCTTGCGGATGACGACCTTCAAGCGGTTCACGAAAACGGAAAAGCAAACCGAAAAGCAGGCCAGTCGTGGCGCCGACGGGGCTCACCACTGTAGTGGTGCCGAACAGGCTGGCGAGAAAACTGACGAGCAGAGCAGTGCTGGCGCAGGAGGTCACAAACGTAGCGGCGCCAAACCTGCTGCGTCCAACGGCTTGGGCGGCTTTCTTGCTAGTGAGCTAGGGACAGGAAACCGACAGGCACAGACCAACGGCCAAAATAGAGGACGAGGAAAGAACAGCGGCAACGCGGTGACTGTCGAGCCAGCTGGGACCGTCCAAGTGCGAGTGACGCAAGACTTGGGGAGTTCGTGCTTGCTTTGTCACGCTGGTAACGTGTGGCGGCGGCAGCGTGAAAGCGCCAGGCGGAACAACTTACCGCCCCCTGCGCTTGTCCTCGTGGTTCCCGACTTGGTGGCCCCCAACAACAGCAACAACAACGACGGGCGACGCCTGTAATGGTCGAGGTGTAGCATCCGTGTAGTCTGCGGCTGTGCGGTATTGTCTTTGACGTGTGGCACACACGCCTTGGGTTTGACTGTTTGCAAATGACTCACCATCCCTGTGACAATGGGTGAATGACTCGCCACCTCTTTGAAAATACGCTACCACGTATACGCGAAGTAAAAGCATGAAATTGAAGCACATCCCCCCACGAATGCCGTGAATATATATAGGGCTAGCATGTAGCAGGCAACTACCACGACGCTGATACATAGTTTAACTAGGAAACGAATGATAGGATGAAGACGAGTGATAGTCTAGCTAGGAAAGATAGCGTAGCTAGGAAACGAGTGATTGATAGGATGAAAACGAAGGATCGTCTAGCTGGGAAACGAGTGCTAGGATGGAGACGAGTGATAGTCTAGCTAGGAAAGATAGCGTAGCTAGGAAACGAGTGATAGGATGAAGGCGAATGATAGTCTAGCTAAGAAAGATAGCGTAGCTAGGAAACGAGTGATATGATGAAGACGAATGGTAGTCTAGCTAGGACAGATAGTGTAGCTAGGAAACGGGTGATAGGATGGAAACGAGTGATAGTCTAGTTAGGAAACGAACGGCCGCGACGAGTTATAGGATGAAAGTACGCGATTAGAACAAGGAAACAAACGCCACAGCTTCCAGGAGCAGGCTCCTACCAAAACGTTGATAGCTAGCAGAGATGGGATGAAAGTACTCGACTAAAACTACGAATAGTCAGACTCCTTCCAGTAGCAGGCTACTGCCAGAACGATGATAGTTAGTAATGATAGGACGAAAGCAAAGCACGCGACTAGAGCAAGAAATGAAACGTCACAGATTCCAGGAGCAGGCCACTGCCACAACGTTGATAGTTAGCAATGATGGGATGAAGGTGCGCGACGGACTAGAGCTGCTCTGAGCAAGTAAATGCCATAGCCTCCAGTAGCAGGCTACTGCCAAGACGTTGATAGCTGGGAACCTTAACGGGGTGGGAGTTCAGAGAGACTCCAAAAAATCAACACTCACCGACTAGGTAAGTTAAATAGTCTTAACTGGCCCGCCTTTCAGCGGTTCCAGCAGGAAGAACGAGCGAGGCATGAGAATTGCTTGGCCCCGTATGAGATAGGCCTTGGGCAAGCCTAGAACGAGAGCAAGCAAGAAGGTCAAAACCGGAACGCGCTCCCAATGGTCTGGCTCTTGACCTTGGTGAGCTTCTAGGCGTGGCCTTCGTCGTCCATTCTCGGTTTTAACTATATTAGGTCACAAGGGCCAGGAGCATAAGAGTTCAGATATCATTTGGTCGTGGATTGAGTTGCATTGGAAGTTCTTGAGCTTTCGACATGGCGGCTATTGCTTCTTCGTCTTCGTCTTTAGTAGCAACAGCAAAGCCCAGAAGGACAAGGCTGGCGACTACTGCTACGCTCGCACTAGTACCGAGTTAGTGCTTTTTTTCTTCCTCCTCGTTGGGCGTCTAGTAGTTTTAGCAGCAGCAGAAGCGGGACGCACACTCCTCCCTCTTCATCTTCGGCGCGCATCTTGTCTTCATCCAGTAGAACCAGCACACGAGCAGGCGCCCACCGTCCCGGCTCCTACAAAACAACAGCATCGGAGGCAGCTTTCTTACACGCCGCGAGGTGCAATTGCTGCTACACTAATCCCCATCCCCAAGACAAGGGGCTGCAGGGATAGCCAGGGCAATTACAGCCGCTCGGGTAGTTTAACCCTAACAAGACGATCCAGCACGTCCTTCAGTACGAGGCTGGGGCGTTTTTGACCGCGGTCATTTTAGCCTGACGGCAAGTTCATCATAGCGGTCGACTTTTTTTAGCGAGTGGCGGCGGCGCGCACTTTAGAGGCTTTGCGACTTACAGCGGCAAAACCGGCATTCCGAGGGGAGCTTCTAGAGGTTTTGCATGTTGCAGCGGCATTTCATTTCTAGAGGCTTTGCGAATTGCAGCAGCACTGCTAGCGGTTTTGTAAGTTGCGGCGGCACTTCTAGGGGCTTTGCGAGTGGCAGCGGCGCGCACTTCTAGAGGCTTTGCGAGTGGCAGCGGCGCGCACTTCTAGCGGCTTTGCGAGTGGCGTCGGCACGCACTTCTTCTTCTAGAGGCTTTGCGAGTGGTAGCGGCACTTCTAGAGGCTTTTTGAGTGACAGCGGCGCACACTTCTAGAGGCTTTGCGAGTGACAGCGGCTCACACTTCGAGAGGCTTTGCGAGTGACAGCAGCACTTCTAGAGGCTTTGCGAGTGACAGCAGCACTTCTAGAGGCTTTGCGAGTGGCAACGGCGCGCACTTCTAGAGGCTTTGCGAGTGGCAGCGGCACCGCTAGAGGCCTTGCGAGTTTCGGCGGCACTTCTTTCTAGAGGCTTTGCGAGTCGCAGCGGCGCACACTTCTCAGGTGTGGTAGTGGTTTTGCGTGTGCGTTTCCCGAACGGGTTCGCCCCTTTCCGGCCTCCCGCTCGTGGCTAGCTTGGAGGGACTGCGAGAGCACTACCCCGTGGCACAACGAAACTGCAGCGACGACACAGCAACCCCGATGCAACATGGGAAAGAAGAGGAACGGCAACAGCCAGGGCCTCAAAGTTGGTGGGAGCCGTAAGAACGTCGTGAGAAAGGCAGCCGCCGACGTCGGCGCTGGAGGTTTGGGCCAGCAGTATGAAGAGCGAGATCGGCCTCGTCGTGGTCCGAAGTCGTTGAACACGACGAGTCTTATGGTCGGTCTAGAGCTAGAGACTGTCTTACCACTATAGTCGCATGGGCGGGCCTTGTGCCCCTTAGTTCTCTCATCGATCTCGTGTAGCAGTCGCCTGGCTTGTGCACTCGGCTGCTTCTAATGTGCGAGAAATCACTCTGGCGCGAGAGCTCACCAGACTGAAGCGGGAGAATGCGAAACTGCGCAAGGAGCTGCAGCAGCACCAAGCCACGAGGGGGCCGAAGAATCGCATTTGCGCAGTGTGGCAGGCTCGCTCAATAATGGCGGACTGTAGCGTAGCTGCGGAGAGCTGCTCGAAGTTCTTTCGGGACTTTTTGCCTGATTTACGGCCCTCAGGCGTCAGACCAACGCCGCTATCTCTTTGTCGTGAGTGTGTGACTCTAAGTGGGGGCAGGGGGTCTAGATTCGGTGCGTGGCGTTGGTCGATTTCTCTACCTCTAACATCTGAGGAGCAGCCGCCTGCAAGCGCGAAATCAATATCAAAAATCAGGGATGCGGGAGCGTTGTTTGTCCGGCGACTTCTTGGCGAGCATATCGCAACGACACTAAGCGCGAACCTCGCTGACATAGCGTCTGCGGCTTGTGTCTTTGGGGATGGGGCAGCTCCTGAGACCGTCGCATGGCTAACGCTGATCCACGACGAGGTGTGTTTTCAAGTGAAGACACACGCAAAAGAAGGCGGCGGCGCGCAGGCGTTGATGGATTCTGCCGCCGATGCGCTCGCTGGTGCTGGCAAGGTGAAAAAGACGCGCAAGGGAGAAGCGTCGAAGCGCGGCAGGTCGAAATTTGCGAAAGTCAAATATGCCAAAGTGCAGAACTGCATCGTCCGACTACAGTGGTAGCATCATCTGCTTGGTTGAAGTTGGTCAACATTGTCGAGCTGTCGCGTTCTGTCCTCGGTTTCATTCTGCGTGTGTTGACTTTAAACCAGTCACATCGCCTTACCTTCTTTCACTCTCACACCCTCTCAAGGTTCGACAAGGACAAGAAGCTGCGGCAGGTGGAGATGTTTGTGGATTTACAGGCGATGTTTGACAAGGAAGCGCGAACCATAGCGAAGACGTTGCACAAGGCTACAGAGGAGGCGCTATCTATCTTGCGGAGCGCGAAAGTGGCCAAAGTCGTTTTTGTCATCACCGGCGATGGGATCGGCACTAACGCCTCGGCCGTGTCGCGTTTTTACGCCGCCTTGCTGACTGAGGCCAGGGCATTGGCAGCGGATAAGCGGCTCAGGTATGGCTTGGTCAACTTCATCTGCGCTTCGCATCGTTGTAATCGGGTCGTCATGTCTGCGGTGAAGGACGAGGTAAGCAGCCAGACGCTGAGGTTTTTCCGGTATTTGGTGGAGGATTACAACGAAGAGTTTTCCGCGAACCTCAACGCCCTCGCGCCTACTCTTGCGCAAATAGGTGCTGCGCATCCTCTTGCGGCATTGTATGGGTCAGAGACTGTCGGCGTTGGTCGCCCGGTTTCGTTGATGTTGAGGGATTTGGTGAAGGCGGAAGAGAAGCCTGTTCCGACGCGCTTTTTCCTCTACATTATGGCTATCCTAGGCTGTAGAGTCGTGAGCTTGTCGAGATGAATGTGACAGGTGTTGACTAACTACCTGAGGTTGTGGCTACTCGTGGCTTTCCTTAGCCTCTGTATCTGATGTTCTGCCTCATTTTGCTCCATGTTACCCCCGACCCCTCTCATGATCAGCCCCTGCGTCAAGGCGTTGTTTTGTGCGAGGGTAATCCATCGCCTGCCGGTGGAGGCATGGAAATTGGACACGAAGAAGGAGGGGAACATGCTCGAGGACCGGAAGGAGAGGATTAGCAAGTTCCGCCTATGGTGGTCGAAGGCCTCCACCGCTACAGACCTGAAGGTGAGCACGTTGTGCTTGCGGTTGACTGACAGACTCATCTCGATCTGCTGTCGAGAGAATGCGACCGGTGACCTTGACAGTGGGCTTATTGCGACAACCCACGTCCCGATGCTTGTCGTATTGTCCAGGGAGTTCGAGAATCCGCGCCATTCTCGTGCCACGCAGGAGTTCGTGGAAATTATGAAGGTGCTTGTTGTTTTGGTTTTTGATTCTTTCCGTTTTTGGTTTCGGTATAGATATAATTGGCTTATGTATCCCCCATCTGCTACCTATAGTCGCAACCTTCTACCTACTCCCACGGCATCAGTAACTCGCTAGTGTCGTCCATGTCTATGCAATCTATCTCGTTCGTACCTGTCGACCTCGATGTCTCTGCAGGTTTTGCACCAAGATCGTGACGTGTGGACTTCTGAAGTGGTCGAGCAGCTCCTTGCAGTCCTACTTCAGATAAATTTCCGCTTCGCGTGTTATGCTGGGTCATGGCCGTACAAAGCGTGGCGCATGTCGAAGATTTGGAACCCTACGGGATACTTGTCCGCAATGGACTCCTTCACATCTGCGGAGACGGAGAAGGAGCTCGACCCGTGTTGGTCACTCCCACTGTGGAAGCGGGCACAAGAGGGCGGCGTTCCGTTCTTGATGTCTCAGGAGACGCAGAATGAAATCCATGGCATGTTCATGGCTGCCTCCGCAAGTTCGATGAGCGTGGAGCGGAAGCACTCCGCGGACAAGCAGGCGGTGCAAGTGCGCAACGCCACCCGAAACTCGGTGGCCTACGCTTCCAGGAACCAGAACTTGGCCCGCTACCAACGATGGCGCGCCTCGCTCTTGAAACTTCGGCGCAAAGTCAAGAGACGCACCGGGAAACTCAAGTACATCGGGAAGACAGCGCTCGCCAACAAGAGGACGAATGGGGCGTTGCGGTCTCGGCCAAAGGTGAAGCTCGGCGCTGTGAAACAGGAAGGATACTACTCCGGCGACGAAGTTTATGGGTCGCGCTTCTCCTTTGTTTTGGCTAAGTTAGTCGCGTACCGTGTTGGGTGCGGCTCGTTGGGTTAGTTAGGTGAGTCACCTGAGCAGTTAGCCTCCCCTTAGTCGCATAGCTGGGCTCTCAAGCTAGTTAGCCTCGGTCGGTTGATCATTTTCCCCCCCTTTGCCTCTCTCATTCCTTCGAACTGAAAGACTACATCAAGCGCAACGACGCGACGCTAACGGCAGACGCGGCGAAGATGCGGGAGAAGGCAAAGAAAGACGAGGCTGAGGCCATGGCGTTGAGGGCGCTCCCGGTCTCAGTCCGTGAGATGACCACGCTGCTGGAGCAACGGCAGGTAAGGGTAGGCTTTTGGCGTTCTTTCTACTGCTGTTCGTTTTGCCTTTCTGAAGAAGGAAACGCATACTGAACGGGGCACAGGGAGGGAAGGACGCCAAAGGCTTACCGCTAAGGCGTGAGGAGTTTCGGAAGATCATGGATGAAGAGGCGCGGGAGTGGCGTGAAGCTACAAACAAGAAGGTGCAGGCTGATGCCCACGAGTTTCATGCTGTGATCCCCTTGGTTGGGCCCGATGAAAAGGCCAAGAATTCGAAGAAGATCGTAGGTGGGCAATTTCTTGACCGGATTCGGGCGCGTGCTC